ATATATATATATATATGTAAATATAATGTTACTGATTCTACTTGCAGTAAATATAATGTAGATAATGTCGATTCTAAACATTGATGCATTGAAAGTATAAGAAGCAAAAAACACATTTGCTGCTCATTAGTTGTAACCAGTAAGGGAGGAAACAATCCCATTTATGTTTCTGGCTAATTCATTGGTGCTTCTTTATATCTTTAAGCAGCATTTCAGAATTAACTTTCCTGTCCATTACAAATTCAACTTTTCATATATAGTGTGATAATGTTTATCTCATCCTATCATACGATTTAAAGTTATGTTTCTTAAAAATCTAAATTAAATAGCTTGGAATGTTTAAGTGTTATCCGTTGTGTTCATTGTTTGTGTTCAAAAATCATTTGGACAGGAGTAGATTTTACAGCCCAGGGACCTTACAGATATTTTTAGATTTGTTGCTCACTTTATCCTTGGCCTCCTTGTGTGTCCTCCCTCATCCTTCTTTTTGCCTTTATTAATCTCTCCTTTATTTCCTTCCTCACCTCCAAACTCCCCGCACCCAAAACATCTTATTTTAATTCCCCTCTGACCTTTCATTTCTCATAACTTTTTCTTCCATTTTTCCCCCATTGACCCCAGGCCATCTACTATGAGATAGGCTTCCTCATATGTGCAGCGGTGGGCCTGCTGTTCGCCATCCTCATGCCAGTTGTGGGGCTCTTCTTCTGCATGTGTCGCTGCTGCGACAACTGTGGCGGCGAGATGCACCAACGCCAGAGGAAGAATGCGGACTGCCGGCGTGGCCTGCTGGGGACATTACTCTTTTCCACCTCATTGGTCATCACGTGAGTGTGACAGAAACAGGGATGACAGAAATGTCCTCACAAGAATGCATATTGCTTTAAGAAGGTCTTTTAGCACATATAAACCAACCCTTCAACAGCATTGTGCTTGTAATTATGTTTGTGCACAGACACTCCAGACACTGTTCTCCTCTGGTCAAACACTCAGTCATCAGCCTTCACCATCCCCCCCATGTTGTTTGCTATATTTAGTCAAGTATTACTGTAGGTTCAGTGTGGCAGCATTCTTCATGCTTGTGTTCTGTCTAAGCTGTTGTCTCATATCCTGCAGACCATAGAAAATCCTCTATCCAGTCAATATACACTTATAATCCAAATATATCCCAGATAAACCTTAAAGGTATCTTTAAACATATTAATGAGTTTTCAATTTTTATGTTTTTGATGTGTTTAGGTGCTATAGACACCAGACATTTCTGCATGAAGGGGAAACATTTCCCAGATGACAATGCAGTGGTTGTTTCAAACATGAATTTATTTCTTTGGTCTAAAACTAGTGTAGTATGAGTTGTTATGCAGGATTTTATTGCTTCCTGCAGCTATTTATTGGTGAAACTCTGCCTGCCCTTCAGAGCTTTACAAGGCAGCTGTAACCAAACATTTTTGTAGAATATAAACCCAAAGGTCATTGTTTTACATCGTCTGCTATCTGTGTTCATTCTGGTTTTAATGTGTTGTTTATACAAAAGCATTTGTTTAATTTAAGCTTGCATTTGGATTTTTTTTGGTTCTATTCTGCATCAGTACATTAATTCGATTTTTTTTCTTAATGAATAAAAAAGATGATCCACTCCTCCAAATGGTTTTCAACTGAAGAATAGGGGTTTGCCCCCTTCAGGTCAGAGGAAAGCTCCTTTCTTAATTGGAGGAGTTCATGTACCTCGGGTTTTTGTTCATGAGTGAGGGGAGAATGGAGCAGGAGATCGACATATGGATCAGTGTGGCTGCTGCAACAATTCAAACGTTGTAAAGGTCTATGTGAGTTAAGAGAGAGGGCTGAGTCAAAAGGGAACCTCTTGATTTAATGGTCGGTCTGTTCCTACATTTACTGTCATTGAATTTGGATCATGACCAAAGAAAGGGATCCTGATACAAGGGGTTAAAAATGGGCTTTATCTGCAAGGTGCTTCCTTAGAGATTGGATGGAGAGGGAGGACATCAAAGTAGAGCCACATTGAGAGGAGTCTGCTTATGTCTCAGGGCATCCAAAGAGCAAAGGCCCAGGACACGCTGGGGAAACTGTGGCCATTTCACCGCAACATATTTATGATATTTATATTTGAGAAACCAAACAACCACAGATGCATGGCTCAACACAGGAGATCTACCTTCTCCGGACAAGATTCCGTGGTACATCCACACCTTCTGGACAACGGACATTCTTTTGAGGAACAGAATGTTGATATTTTGGACAAAGAGGACAGGTGGTGTGAAAGGGTGTGAAGGAAGCTATCGATATTTGTTAAGAGAGAAAAAACAACCTTAATAAGAAGGGGTAGACTCAGGTTTCAGCTCTCAAAAACCTACAATGCAGCGATAGAGTTGACTCCTGCAGGGAACCAAGACAACTCGCCTGGTCAGTCAGGCCAACAACGCCCCTAATGACTCCCCCCTTTCAGAGGTATCGACCAGCATCGCGTACTTTTTCCTGGATGGGAAGCAAAATGTCTTCAAACTTGGAAACCTAAGTCTAGTGTATTGTTTCTTAACTTTTTTGGAATGATAAAAAAAATAATGTACCAGTTTAATAATGGAGAAGCTATTAGTTAGCTTTATATTTGTTTAATATATAAAAGCAATTCATTTTATGAGGATTTGTTTATTTTAGAGCATCTATGCAAATTAAGAAACACCTAGAAAAACGACACTAAATTATATGATCTTCCACGTGAATCCCAGATTGTTCATGCTTCTTTGTCTTTTTTAAAAAGTGCCTTTTCTAAAAAGTCTTTATCCATGCTGGGTCAGATCCTGACGTTTGAGAAAGGAGGCAGGCAGTCAAGGCAGCAGAATAAAACGTTAGCTTCGCTGCATGCAGTTACCCAAGCTAATTTTGATGTTGATCAAAATCTGATTAGGTCCAAACCGTTTCACCTCCAGCTTCTCATCTCAAGGGGAAGCGTTGTTGTGCCCAGAGCGGCGCTCCTATACATCGTTATTGCAGAGGAGCTACTGTGCATGTACAACTTTTAAAAAGAGTCAATGAGCAAACATTCTTGCGTCCTAGTGTGGAAATATGTCACCAATCTGATGAAAAAAAATGAGACAGCTTTATTCGTTATTAAAGATAAAATATTTATCTTGCACATCAAAAAAATATTTATTAATATATTCTGAAATATTTTTATTTTATAATTTAATTTTGTTTTTTTTATTCCTTAATCAAGGTCATTGGGTGGGTGGGGCGGTGGCCTAGTGCCCCTATTGGCCAGCCGCCACTGCTTCTGAACATGCATCATGGTTAATTTAAAGGTGGCGAACTGTCTTACTGCAGAATGATCAGTCATCAGAGCGTAGCTGACTCCATCTATTTTCAGCAGAACTAGAAGCGCCCCCAGGTTTGCAAACATCTAGCATTTGCACAGCTTTGTGCATCTGCCCCTTGGAATCTTTTTCACTACTTTCTTTAACTTGGTTTACTTTGCACTCTAAGTAGCAGCTTGAAATGTATCACCAGTCTGAAGGCGTTGACAGAGCTTTAGTTGCATTTTGCGCTTAAATGCAGGAGTCCAGAAGTGTACTTTATTTGATCTACTTTGTCTTTCTGTCCTAATGTTACAAAAAAATTCCACAACAGTAACCCAGCAGCCCAGATACAGGAGTCTGCAAGTCACTTTTTTTAGTTTTATTAAATCTCCCAAGCTACAAGGGAGCAATGCAGCAAAAGCTCTAATGAAGCAATTACAAGCTGAGAAAGAGGCACCGAGCTCAGACACTGACTGCTTTTTACTGTCACAAGAAAGCTGACAGCTCACAGGAGTAGCAGTGCTGACATTTATTTCACAAGAAGTGTTGAAATCAGATTAAGGGGAAGACAGCAGCCAGGTGAACCTGGGAACATAAAAGGCAAAAAAGTATTGGTATAGAGCAAAATCAACTTTTTGCACATTCATAGTTGGAGGCAGTAGCACTCGCTGCTGAGTTTTCTTTTAATTAGTTTAAGGTGATCCTTTATTCTGGTAAAAGGAAGCTTAATATACTGTATAACTTAAAATCCAGTTTTATGAAGTGATTATAAATGAATTAAACAGTAGATTATACAAGACTAATGCACTAAATGGAGCAAATGAGAAATGCTGCAAATACACAAAACCTACTGCAAATACCTAAATAAAGGCTACATATTACTACATATTCCATAAGAATCAAGATATTTGTTCTTGAGGCTGCACGAAAGTATTCAAACTCCCAAAGTCCACCACTCTATAACACAGGTCGCTAAAAAGAATGGGGAAGCGGTACGGAGAGAAAGAACCAAGCAGGAGAGCTGAACCTAGAGGAATGAAAAGAAATATAAGCTGTTGTGGCTCTGCTACTGCTTGGAAAGACCGCAAACACTGGGGAAGTGCGGCGCTACAGGGGGTCGACCGCTGCAAGTGAGCTTAAGTGTTACGTTTAGCCGCTTAAGCCACCAGATTTGAGCTGTGCAATGAAAGTTTTAATTTTGACAGACACATGAAGCATTTTTGCTTTTCCAGCCTAAACACGCCCATCTTAATCACATCCAGTCGCAGTACTGTAGTCAGACACCCAGCAAGAAAGTTGTGTTTTCTCAAGAACAATCAACAGACAACCAAAGAAAAGATGGAGGGCACAAACTACATTTTATGAAAAGCAAGTTGAACATTTTTTCAATAAAACAGCAAAAGGCTCATCCGCAAAAGAAGATATGTTAACAATACTGAGATTGAGTGCACTTCTATTATTACAATCTAAACGGATACCTGGATATTAATAAATAGAGTTGGGGCTATTTCTTTAGGCTCATTATCACATCTACAACCTCAGAAAAGTTTAATATCTGATTTCAGTCCAAGCTTAAGGCTTGTATGGGACACATTTCCGAGCAACTGTACATGTTTATGCTAACAGCGTTAAAAAAAGGCAATGCATGAATCCTTGACAATACTAAGAAACAGTCTTAAGTTACAGGCTGAAAAGCTACATAAAGGGAAGTCTGTGTGTTCTCTCTGAAGCTGTATTAAAAGGAACTGTAATAGTTTTTCTTTTTTTACATTGGTTTGATTCCTTTGGCATCAATCTGCATTGATATTGGCCTGATTGTAGTTCAAAATTCACATCTTTAACTAAGTATGTATTTTTACTTTTAATTTCCTACTGTAGTGCTGGACCTGAGAAAAATACACTTGAAAAGCAATATGAACCTGAAAGCAGCAGCAGCAGCATCCTTCGCTTGTCCTCATCCGTCACAGTCAACAACCAATTAAAGTCAGATTTGCTGCAAGTAGAACCGATTGATGCAGTAATAATGAATAAACAGTGTCAGCTTCATTAGAGGCTTGTTGTTGCAGATTCAACATTTCTAAAGTCTAGATATCGCTTGATGGAATGTTTTTAGATTTACAACACACAACTTGAAACCTTTCAAGTGAGACTTTATTTTTTTATTTGTTTTCCTCATATATGAGTATATGGATTATTGCTGATCTACATATTTTGTAACACTGCATATTCTGCATATTACATCTGGGCATTCATGCATTCATATTATACTGACATGACAAGTTGTATTTTGTCTGCCAGCTACACTGATGCTGCCCCATGTATTATTAAAAGAACAGCAGGAGCTATTTGAGTCTCTCCTAATCAGCTCTGATTCACCATGACCAGTGCATGGATTTATAACAAGAAAATGAAGATCCGTCCTTTTGTTGCAGTCAAGTGGAAGAGCTCTGCTTTTGTTATTATCCAGCATGCACTTTAACTGTCTGTATTAGTTACTGGGTGTCCAACAGTATTAA